TCAATATGACAGGGAAGGAGAGAGCATTAACATGGCCTTGTTGAAGAATGTAATTGTGAGAGAGGTGTCCTTTGTTTTCATTTGAAGCATGCGTTTGGCTTTGTACATTTCCACCCATTCACAACAGTCTGCAAAATAATCCTGGAACTGGTCTGGCCAGGACAGCACAGTTAGTGATTGATAACTCATAAGGAAGGAGGAGAAATATTGTCTTTCGCACCAATGCACTCTAACATCCAACTAACTCTCTTCTTGTTTATTCACTCATAGGATGTGGATGTCACTGGCTAAGCCAGCATTTATTGTCCATTCCGGCTTGCCCCCTTGAGAAGGTGGTGGTGAGCTGCCTTCTTAAACCACTGTAGTCCATGTGCTGTAGATGGACCCACAATACCCTTAGGGAGTGTAACAGTGATATATTTCCAAATCAGGATGGCGAGTGGCATGGAGGGGAACTTGCAGGTGTTCCCAAGTATCTGCTGCCCTTGTCCTTCTAGATGGTGGAGGTCATGGGCTTGGAAGGTGCTGTCTCAAGGAGCGTCGGTGAATTTGGAGTGATGCATGCAGTTCCAAAATTCCAACATTGTGGAATCTCTGCCCCTCCCTTAGCCATACACTGACGATATTTCACAGGAATTTTGAGATGCAGTCAGTAATGAATGATCATTAGAAAGCTTAACTGCCCAACCATTCCCCAAAATGAATCACCGTGCTTCACACAAACAAAATGCCTATGCCAAGGGGTGCAAAGGAATGATTTTTATTTGAGATAAAGAATGATCTGATTCCAGTGGGATGCAGTAAGGAAGGGGAAAGCTAGTTTGCAAACTCACCAGACCCCAGGCACCCACGTGCCAAGAGAAGAACTTGCTGCAGTTATCCCGGACACAGGGCTGGGTGGATGAGGGCTTCATCTGAGCAGAGCACGCAAAGTCTGGCACTTTACCACCTGAGTGGGACATACAGGACACCGGCCTGCTCTGAGTACCCTCTCCACATGTGACTGAACACTACGAAAAGAAACCAGAGCTAGTCAGCACCTCCCATCAGGAGGAATCAGCGAGACAAGGAAACAAACCCTGCCCTGAAAGAAAAACAGATACAAAAATCGCACAATGGCTTGTCCCATTGTACTCCAGGCCTCCCCCCATCACCACACAATCTCAGTGCTTTTCCCAACTCTACAACGCATCACTCAAATGGACAACATTTCATTAAACACACTGACTTGGATTCTTGCCACCCCCACTGCACCACAGCACCATTCCCCCCGCCTCCCCCCACCCTGCCACA